ACTTCTAGACCACTTCTATCATCTTTTTTTCAACCTCTTTCTATCTTTCCTTTTTTTGTTGTTGAGATGTTGTGGTCTTAGAGCTCTGATAAGGGTTTATGTTTTTATTTACTGCTTAGTGAGGAGTGTGGCGGGGATTTGTGAGTTCTCTAAACTCCTCTTGGTGTGAATAGAGCAGCCGTAAGGCCCTGGGGTTTAAGTGCTGAGCTTCCCTGTGCTGAGCGGAAAGATACTGACTTTCTTAAAGTCTGGATCATTTCTGTTTATCACAAAGCATTAATATCCACAACCCCCCCACCCATGCATTTCTAAACCCCCTACCATACTTATTTACCTTCTAACCCCTGCTAGCCTTCAATGAAAGGAAGTACAATGAAAGTTGATACACTTTATTTTGTTCTTTAAGAGGCTTGATTTTACTGGATCCAAACTGCCAGTGTTGTTAATCTCTTTTAGTAGAGGAACATTCAGGACAACAAAAACACAAAAAATGGGGCCATGATGACGCATATTCAAACATAAAAAAAAAAATAAAAAAATTAAAAAAATCTAAATTGTACAAAATCCATCTGATCTTTTTTTAGGGGGAAAACAAACAAACAAAAACAAATAAACCCATAAATGCCATCCTGAAGTTTACATTACAGACAGGTAGTGGAGAAGTGATTATCTATATACTTCATATCTACAGTGCCTTCATAGTGCTACTTTTTCAAGAGCTCCATAAAAAAGGTAGTCCCACTGTGGGTTAATAAACCCCACTAAAGAGCTATGGTTCCTTCATATTATTTCCAAGTTATGTTTAACAAATAACATATTCAGCCTCTAGGGTACATACGGTCAGTATTTGCCCAAAGTCCATCAGTTAGAAGGGAAGCAGCACCTTCTTCAAGAACAACAAAATTACTTTTTCGTTAAGAGGCGTTGAATGGAAATAAAGCACATTTAATGTGTCTCCGCCATTCTGTTGTGTCACTTTAAGTGATATACAAATAACATCCTACAACTGCACAACAATGAAAAAGAAGGGGGAAAAAACGATCCCCTGATTATTATACAACATTATTAGCCATCTTTTTTTTTGATGGGAGAAAGACAAGAAAGGAGGGAGGAGGGGAATGAAAGAGGTTGAAGTGCTACTCGTCATCAGACAGGTCTGAAGCTGACCCTTCTACGGCCCGGCTGCACGGGCGACTAAGGTTTCTCCTGACGTTTTCTGAAAGAGAGGGGAAATGGGGAGGGGAGGGGAGGGGGGTGGTGAATGGAAGTAGTGTGGGAGGGGGTTGAATTGATTTCCTCTGTGATGACAGCTCCAGTCAGGCTGGCACCAAATACCCAACCCCCCCATTTCACCATCCACATCCCTCCGTCCGCTCACTCCATCCCTGTGCGTCAATGGCGCTGGGCAAATGGCCACTGGCGGTGTCATGTTCTTGAAGGGTGTTCTCAACAGCTCCCCTCCATCTTTCTTTCCCTTCCAACTGTCGCAAAATCGTTGGTGCGGATCGTTTTTCTGATAAAAGCATTATTTTTGGACAAAAGTCACTCTGAGGAATCTTTTTTTAACGTCGTCATTTTTTTCTCCTCTTCAGTAATGTCTCTTCAATGCTCAATTCAGGCAACTCCAATAAGAGTCATGTATTTAGTTGCAGACTCATCAGAAATAGGGTTCAGGTTTCTCTACTTCATCATCTCTATCCTGTGCTTCACAGAATAGTACTGAGGCTGAAGTGTTGTGATTTGGGAGTTTATGATCCCCAACTTAAGGAATACCAGTTCCCTTTCAAGGGAACTTCGAACTGCGTCCTCTAGGGGCTGCTATGGGGGAACACTGTCAGTGTGACCGGTGTCTGAAGCATATATCTAAAAACGACAATAACATTGGCCGGTGACAGCCTATGACGTCATTACCCTGCGCGATCACAGTATAAAAGGGCTCCGGGTGAACACGTCATCCTCTTCTTCGTCTTCACTGACCGTTTGTTTATGTTAGCGTTAAGCTAAACACGACTAGGAGTGCATGCTTCTCGCCAGAGGCTTTGCTCTGATACCTGCAGTTTCACACGGCTCGCGTGCTGTGTGTATGTGTGTGGTGAAGAGCAAGCGCGTTCAGCTCTCGAGGGAGTTGGATGCGCTCAGCATCATTGCTTATTTCTTGTGAGGGATAAGCATGAATTGAACGCGCTCATTTCATGAGGAGGCGGATTGTGCTCATTGTGATGCATTCGCGGGACTACTGATGGGGATGCGAGTATTTCACCATTTACCCGAGTTTGTAGATAGTGTTTGCATGAGTGCGTTTGCCTCTCACGGGAAAAACGATGCATTCGCGGCAGCAGTTTTCATTCGCTCTTGATTTCCGAGGTAATCTAGCGGTTGGGCGGAGCATGTTTAGCTCCCACAGGAGCTGAATGCATGCTGTGCGTTGTGTCGCGGTGAGAACATGGAAAGGACCTGGCGGGAAATTTCTCCCTATCAGTAATTTCCTTTTGTTTATATAGGAAATGTATAGTGTGGATCTGTCTGCAGTTATTGGACAGATGGTTTATATCATGTCCTTCTCAGATAACCACATTATACTGCACTCCGCCTTGAGTAAAAAAAAAAAAGAGCCTTCCATTCCTTCCAGATCTTCATTTGGAGATCGAGGAGGTTTGGAAAAATCCATTCTCGTTCCGCATCCACAGATTCCAGCATACTAGTTATGCCAACATCGAGGGGATGTGTGAGAATGGTTATGAGAAGATGCCACCTGTTGAAGAGACGCTGGCCTGCTATCTTTCCATGGAGGAGACATATTCTCTTAAGGCTCCCTCCCTGCCATTCAAACCTGTTTGAATGGTAGGGCATACGCGGCAGCAGGTCACACTGCAGTCTTGTTGCACACCATGGTGGTGCTTCAGGCTTTTCAGGCTGATCTGCTGAAAGACCTGGATAAATGCAGGGTCTATCCACTATCGAGATAGAGAGCATGGGACCGTGTCCAACTGCACCAGTGGACTGTCTCTTATTGGGCCATGCTGGGTTACCCCTTCTAATCTAGCGCCCCCTTCTGGTCGAGCAGAGGGTTGTCTTTGAGCCTGCTGCTCCCGATTGAGTGGCTGAGGACTTCTGGGCATCTGTGAGCAGATCTCTATAAAATCCATACTATGGTAAGTGCACATGCTAAGCTTCTGTGCACTTTCTAAAATCCACATGGAGGTAAGTGTGCACGCTAAGCACTCTGCACACTTTCTAAAATACACATGGTGGTAAGTGCGCATGCTCAGCACTCTGCGCACTTTCTAAAATCCTGTATGGTAAGAGTTACGCGTTGTCAGCCTTGTTCCCTTTCTCTGAGTTGGCTTAGGCCCCGGTACTCGCCTTGGGCTCCACTCAACTAGTGTGTCTCTGTTGATACATTTTTAAAGCATCGCTCCCCTCACTGTAGAGGGTTATTTCTGAGCATGGTGCTTTCTTCCGAGCGTTCGAATTTTCTCCCCTTCTGAGGAGTGGAATTCCCCGCTTCATGGGCTGCTCTCGTGGTTAGCAGTGCTCCCCTCTATCAGAGGGTTGCCTATGAGCACGCTACTCCTTTTCTGAATTCGGAGTTCTCCT